GTGGCAGCGACTGTAGGGACAGAAAGAAGAAAAGAGAGCGTTGCAGCGGCAGTAGGGACAGAAGCAGAAGAAAGAAGAATATGGCAGCGGCAGTAGGGACAGAAGCAGAGAAGAAGAGAGCGTGGCAACGGCAGTAGGGACAGAAAAAAAGAAGAGAGCATGGCAGCGGCAGTAGGGACAGAAGCAGAAGAAGAAGAGGGCGTAGCAGCGGCAGTAGGGACAGAAGAGAAGAAGAAGAGAGCGTGGCAGCGCAGTAGGGACAGAAGAGAAGAAGAAGAGAGCGTGGCAGCGGCATAGGGATAGAAGAGAAGAAGAAGAGAGCGTGGCAGCGGCAGTAGGGACAGAAGAAAGAAGAAGAGAGCGTGGCCGCGGCAGTAGGGATAGAAGAGAAGAAGAGAGCATGACAGCGGCAGTAGGGATAGAAGAGAAGAAGAAGAGAGCGTGTCAGCGGCAGTAGGGACAGAAAAGAAGAAGAAGAGGAGCGTAGGCAGCGGCAGTAGGACAGAAGCAGAGAAGAAGAGAGCGTAGCAGCGGCAGTAGGGACAGAAGCAGAGAAGAAGAGAGCGTAGCAGCGGCAGTAGGGACAGAAGCAGAGAAGAAGAGAGCGTGGCAGCGGCATTAGGGACAGAAGCAGAGAAGAAGAGAGCGTGGCAACGGCAGTAGGGACAGAACAGAGAAGAAGAGAGCATGGCAGCGGCAGTAGGACAGAAGCAGAGAGAGAGAGAGAGCTAGCAGCGGCAGTAGGCGACAGAAGAGAAGAAGAGAGCCTGGCAGCGGCAGTAAGGGACAGAAGCAGAGAAGAGGGAGAGTGTGGCAGGCGGCGTAGGCGACAGATGAGAAAGAAAGAAGAGAGCGTGGCAGTGGCATTAGGGATAGAAGAGAAGAAGAGAGCGTGGCAGCGGCCGTAGGGATAGAATAGAAGAGAAGAAGAGAGCGTGGGCCGCTGGCAGTAGGTACAGAAGGAGAAGAAGAAGGAGAGCGGTGGCAGCGGGCAGTAGGGACAGAAGAGAAGGAAGAGCGAGGCATGGGCAACGGCAGTAGGGACAGAACAGAAGAAGAGAGCGTGGCCAGCGGGCGTAGGGACAGAAGAGAAGAAGAAGAAGAGCGTGGCCAGCGGCAGTAGGGACAGAAGCAGAGAAGGAGAGAGCATGGCAGCGGGCAAGTAGGGGACAGAAGAAGCAGAGAAGAAGAGGAGCGTGGCAGCGGCAGTAGGGACAGAAGCAGAGAAGAGATAAGCGTGGCAGCGGCAGTAGGGACAGAAGCCAGAGAGGGGGGGGGGTAGAGAGAGTGTGGCAGCGGCAGGTGCCAGTAGGGACAGAAGCAGAGAAGAAGAGAGCGTAGCTGCGTCAGCAGTAGGGCAGAAGAGAAGAAGAAGAAGAGCGTGGCCAGCGGGCATTAGGGATAGAAGAGAAGAAGAGAGAGGCCATGGCAGCGGCAGTAGGGGACAGAAGCGAAGAAGACGGAGGTTGGGCAGGTGGCAATTAGGGATAGAAGAGAAGAAGAAGAGAGCTAGCAGCGGCAGTAGGGCAGAAGAGAAGAAGAAGAGAGCTTAAGCAGCGGGCCGTAGGGACAGAAGAGAAGAAGAGAGCGTGCAGCGGCAGTAGGTGACAGAAGCAGAGAAGAAGAGAGCGTGGCAGCGGCAGTGGGGACAGAAGCAGAGAAGAAGAGAGCGTGGAAGCGGCAGTAGGGACAAAAGCAGAACTCCAGGTCCAGCAGAACAGACACACTCCTGGGATAGTCATCACCATTTCACCACTAACTTCAGATCTCCAGATGACTATGGGAATATTTTATACCAGTTTAAATTAAGTAACAAATATAAAAGCCACATTTTCCTGCTGGTATTTTTGATAGCTGAGCTGGATGTTGGACGCTGGATCAAAACATGACTTTAGCCAAGACTTTAAGGAGCAGTCTGATAAAGGAGGGCTGAGGGATGAGGTGTGGGGTCTAGTGATGATGCCATACACACAGACATGCACGCACATGAACACATAAAAACACAAATGTTGCGAGCACGCACTCACACACGTCCGCACGCACGCACGTCTGCACGCACGCACGCTCGCTCCAGCAGCATCCCCTTGCTGTGACTGTGAACCCCCCAAGGGGATTCTGTCTGCTGAACTTGAAGCTAGACAGAGATCCTCCTCCCATCTCATTTTTATACTATAGTACCTTCATAACAACCACATTATCTATCTGACCCAGATATTCCTACCAACCACATTATCTATCTGACCCAGACCTTCCTACCAACCACATTATCTATCTGACCCAGACCTTCCTACCAACCACATTATCTATCTGACCCAGACATTCCTACCAACCACATCATCTGTCTGACCCAGACCTTCCTACAAACCACATTATCTATCTGACCCAGACATTCCTACCAACCACATTATCTATCTGACCCAGACCTTCCTACCAACTACATCATGTATGACCCAGACATTTCTACCAACCACATTATCTATCTGACCCAGACCTTCCTACCAACCACATTATCTATCTGACCCAGACATTCCTACCAACCACATCATCTGTCTGACCCAGACCTTCCTACCAACCACATTATCTATCTGACCCAGACCTTACTACCAACCACATTATCTGTCTGACCCAGATCTTCCTACCGACCACATCATCTGTCTGACCCAGATGTGTCATAGTCAATGATAATTCATAACTGCATCAATACCCAGACATATCCACCATGTCCTTATTGCTGACCCAGCGGTCTATACTTTCAGAGAATGTTTAGAGAGAGAATACTCACAAATGTCTCCTGCAACAAAACTATACTGCCCTACAAAGGCATAACGCAGTAACTACGTATTTTTTTCTTACTGCAACATTTGACTTCAAAGTATTTTGCTGTCTAGACAGACTGCAATTTCTGATACTCCATGATATATTCTGATCAACTGGCTTGTTCTTGTGTCAGAAAACGAAATACCACATTAACCTCTTAAGGTCAATTTTCGCTTAAAGTGACATACCGTATACGGGACAACGATCCCGTAGAGGTTAATCAGATAATATACCTGGCCATTACAACAGATCAAAGATTTTTTCTACCAAATTCATAGTTATTGCGTTTTGCCTTTGTAGGGCAGTATAGATGTCTCATTATTTGCCATATAAAAAGATGTACCCAGATCTCACAGAGATCCTATAAATAACTATGTCCAGAACATCCACAAATGCATTTAGGCCATAGGTAACATGCAGTGTTGGGGAAGCTACTCTGAAAAGATAGTTTACCAAGTTACCAATTACTTTACACTGAAAGAAGTTAAGCTACACCAAAGCTACCTCTAAGAAAAATATAGTTTACTTTTTTTATTATTTTTTTATTTTTATTTTACCTTTATTTAACTAGGCAAGTCAGTTAAGAACAAATTATTATTTACAATGACGGCCTACTTGACTAAAGTTACTTTGAATAAGTAGTTCATTACATCAAAAATGATCATATGTAAATCTGAAATGTCAATGATTACAAATTGCAAGAACAGATCACTTTGGGCTCATATGTTAATATAATGTGTAATTTAGCCTATTAAACACAAAAACTATATTTCAAGTGAGAATTAGGCAGGTCTGGTGCCGAAAAATAAATAAATCGTATTTTCATTTTTGCAAAAAAAGTAGTGTGTAGGTCCAGTAGTTAGATACACCACTACATGGCAGAAAAGTAATTAAATACTGATAACACTACCTAGATTAGAATTTAGTTCAACTACCACCAAGCTCCTGCAAAATGTAGTTAACTTATTAGTTGAACTAAATGTAGTTCACTACTCCCCTACATTGGTCACATGGAATATGATTGTAATATATGAACTGATGAAAAGGTGGCGCCATCTAAAAATAACCTCATAGACGTGCATTCAATTCGTATTCAAACGGTAATAGTACAGCACATCTTTGTGTGTGGGTTGAATGGCAAATCCAGGCGTTCTCATTCATATCATTGCAGCACAGACCTCCGGGCCTCTCTAGTGAACTCACAACGGCTTCTAGCGGACAAACTTGGAACAGCAGCAGGGAAAAACATTTTTTCCCATTGACTGAGCGTCCTCTCCCAAATTCCTGAAGCGCAGTCCGGGAAATAAATAGAACCATAGTTTCGCTATATGCATTTATTTGCATTTCGATTTTAATCCAACATTCCCCATAAGAAAATAACACTGATAATCAGTTGCCTATTTTGGTGAGACCACTATTGATAAACAAGTGTAAGAATTAAGCACAAACTTTATCAAACGTGAGCAAAAGGTTTAAAGATAGAGAGGTGGATTTTGTTTTTTTAACGAGAACATTTCAGACTGGTGAGTGAACCAATAACCGGAAACGAGGGTCTAATAAAAATATGGATCCAGTCATGGAATTTGGGCTCTGGAATGTGGCGCGTTTTTTCTATCTCCCCTCTCCCCTTGTGCGCTTCTGTATGGGACTCAGTGCGCTCCACCCGCTCTACTTGCTGTGAGGTAAGACCATAAAATCGTCCCTTTTTCCTTCCACCATCTGATTGGGCGAGACGAGTTCTTAGGAATGTCATGAAACTATTTAAATAGTACTTTGTCCCCTGGCTTACAGTTAGGTTCTAGCGTCAGATACCAGAGAGAAGATTTACCATTCAATTAAAGCAACACAAGATACGAACTTTTTGAATCGTATATCGGACTCCTTTCGATTAAAAAAGAACAAGAACAATTTTTAATCTTGTGGATTATTATTGGATTCTATTTGGATTTTACTATTTCTCTCTGCTGTTTTCATTCAACAGGTGGGCTGACAATATTTCCATTTTCGAATCCAGCCTATATCCAGACATATTTTTCAAATCTTTTCTTATTATAGTAAATAATAATATGTGTTTGGATTATTGTTCATTATTATATTTTCATTTTATGTATAAATATTAACTTTTGTAAAAAAGTGGTTTACTTTATTTGTTATTTTTCATAGGGAAAAACCAGAGTTTCACAATGAAGTTGACAGGAATATTTCTGCTATTGATGCTTTGGACCTGCGAGAGCGCACGAGTTGCAGGTGAGATGCTTGCCTGATACTTTATGTTTGTCTAGAATTAACGGAGTTTGTGGCAATTGCAATGCTTCAACTTGAACTTAAAACTATTTTTTAAAACATATCAGAGGTCTTTAATGTATTATTATCCCCTTAATGTATTGACTTGTTTTGAACATGGATTAACATAGACATCACTGTAGAGTTCATTGCTCCCACTCATTCCCACCTCCCTCCCGCAGAGAGCCGAGACGACAATAGCGTGTACGACCTGTTCGAGCTGGTCCAAGTCTCCAAGAAGAACCACGGAGTGACCCTAGTGAAGGGCGACGACCCATACAGCCCCGCCTACAAGATCCTCAACCCGGACCTGATCCCCGAAGTCCCCGAGAGCTCCTTCAGGGACCTCATCGATTCCATCCATGCCGAGAGGGGCTTCCTCCTCCTGCTTAACTTCAAGCAGTTTAAGCGGACCAGGGGCTCCCTCCTGACCGTGGAGAAGCGGGACGGATCCGGAGCCGTGTTCGAGATCGTCTCGAATGGAAAAGCGAACACCCTGGATGTGGTTTTCTCCACCGTTAATAAGCAACAGGTGGTCTCGATAGAAGATGTGGACTTGGCGACGGGCCACTGGAAGAATATTACGCTGTTCGTGCAGGAGGACCGAGCGCAGCTGTATGTCGGCTGTGAGGAGGTGAATACCGCGGAACTGGACGCTCCCATCCAGAGCATTCTCACTCAGGAGACTCCCGCCATAGCGCGCCTCAGGATCGGGAAGGGAGCGGTGAAGGACCGGTTCATGGTAAGTGACGCACACAGAGCGCATGATGCATGGCATTACACATGATGGATCCAGATCATATACATTTTCGAGTTGTTTTAGATGTTAGAAAATGTTGAATTTAGGATTGTGTAACACTTTAAATTCGTAAAAATGATGTGCATAAAACCTATAGACCCATGCGTGAAAGTTATACAGCACACTGCATTGGAAACCCTTGTAAGTGATCCATAAACTCCAATATTTGTTGCGTAAAAGTGGAGTGATAATGACTATGCAGTATTAGAGCTAAAATTGCCATTGATTCTTGCAGGGGGTGCTCCAAAACGTGCGCTTTGTCTTCGGAACCAATTTGGACGCGATTCTGCGCAACAAGGGATGCCAAAACTGTAAGTAGCCTAATCATGACAGAAAGCATCTTTGCGTGTTTATCCATGCATCACTTGTTGTTATTCTAAAGCCACCAAGCCTTCTATAAGACTGTGCATGACTGTTTAAGAGCCTAGTTAACTGTCATGGGAGAGTTGCTAACAAAGTCACGTTTATGTTGCCATGGGAAAGCTAAAGTTTACAAACACTTCAATGCCTCCTCGGGGCTGGGCACATTAACTCATTAACTTAATTGTGATTCAAGATAGCATGAGGCTGTAATGTTCTGTAATACCCTGAGTGTAATTACATATTCTCCACTGTAGTTATATCACCAATGAGCCCTGGGTACAGTGTGTGTGTGTTGTGGTCTGCTGTGGTCTAGTGGGTATTGCCATTACGGTCTACAGTGCTCTAAACGGTCTCTCTGTGTGTTTTTCCCGTCCTCCCTCCCTCCCTCCCTCCCCCCCTCTCCCTCCTCCCCTCTCTCTCCTTTTCCCTCCCTCTCCCTCCCTTTCTCTCTCTCTCTCTCTCCCTCCCTCCCTCCCTCCTTCTCCCCTAATCTCCCTCCCTCAGCTGTTCTGACTGATAGGATCATCCTTATGGACAACCCCATCAATGGGTCCAGCCCTGCCATTAGGACGGACTACACTGGCCACAAAACTAAAGGTAAACACAACTGCTGCTGCTTATTATATATACCCTGTATAAACCCTGTTAACCCCCCCCCCCCCCCCCCCCCCCGAAAAAGGTTCCAGAAGTAGAACAGAATAGAACAGCACAGCATAGAAGTATTAGAAGAAAGTAAAAGCATTCTATTCTATTGTCAACAGTTGTCTGTAGCTGAGTGAGTTAAAAATTAGTCTGGAAGCCTTCATGTACATCGATAGTCAAACTGTGTTTCCCATAGAATTCATGTATCTCTATGGTTTTTTTTCCCTCCCTCCAGACCTGCAGATGATCTGTGGGTTCTCCTGTGAGGACCTGGCTGGCATGTTCAAGGAACTGAAGGGGCTTGGAGTGGTGGTGAAGGAGCTGTCCAATGAGCTGCGCAAAGTGGTGAGGAAACACACCTGCCTCCTGGAGCAGACGGCAATATGTCTGCCTATGGCATGATACTCTGTCAGTCACTGCATGTGGGCCTTGTTTAGCATACTGGCCTACCAGCGCCAACTCTGGCTAGTCTGTCAAACGGCATGTTAGTTCATTAATTAAATCAAATTAGGTAGACTTTTCTAACTAGCTCTCATTTGGAAGACTTCTTAATGCTAAACCAGTGTGAGGTGGTGTCAGACATTCTCAAACACCTGAGTGTCATTCAAACCGCTCAGGCTATTGAGAACTGAAGAGCGAAACAGTGTGTGAATTTGAAACCCTTGAGCGTCTGAGCAGGGTCTCATCCAGTATTCATATCGGAGTCTCCTTCCTTCCTTCCTGTCTCCTTCAGACGGATGAGAACAAGCTGTTGATGAACAGAGTGGGGATCCACAGCGGAGTCTGTCTGCACAACGGCATCGTCCACAAGAACAAGGCAGAGTGGACCGTCGACGACTGTACTGAGTGCACTTGTCAGGTAAGGGCCGAAGTCGAGAGAGGGTGTGTGGGTGGGGAGGGTAGTGGGGTAGTGTGCGTGTGTTTATGTGTGTGTGTTTATGTGTGTGTGTTTATGTGCGTGTGTTTATGTGCGTGTGTTTATGTGCGTGTGTTTATGTGTGTGTGTGTTTATGTGTGTGTGTTTATGTGTGTGTGTTTATGTGTGTGTGTTTATGTGTGTGTGTTTATGTGTGTGTGTTTATGTGTGTGTGTTTATGTGTGTGTGCACCTACATTTGCACTCTCAGACAGGCACTTGCAAACACACACTCATCCCAACTCAGCAAGCGCCTGCTCGCTACTCCAGACCTGTTTGTCATCTGGCCAGTAATTGGGTAGGAGGAAGAGGCTGGCATCAGGCCAACAAGCCAACAGTGGGTATTGTAGTGAAGTGACCGTGGCCCACCACTCTAGTGAACAGACAGAGCCTGAACAGGCCCCCTATAGGTCCTGGTCATCTAGAGAATAGGGTACCTCTCAGCTCTTCTCAGCAGCTCCGTGTCTCTAATTAACAACATAATTGAACAGAGCTTCAGCTTCAGCTCAGACAAGTGGCTCACAGACAGGAAGACATAGAGAGCTACTGTATTTAATCGAAACTGCTGCAGGCAAATCTGCTCTGCCAGCAGTATCACCTTTCTGCTCCTAATCCCCTTGGCTCTTGGGCTCTCTTGATCTGTGAATCAACTCGCCAGGATGTTAGTTTGCTTCATTAGACAGAGAGATTGAACGTTCCATCCATCAAGGCACACTAATACCCAGGTTGCTTTTGGCAGATGGATTTTTTTTTTTGCCCAGTCCAACCCTCCACGACTGTTTGGCCACATTCCTACTACTCTGACCCAGTGGGCAGGTGCTGGTTGGTCCACAGGGGTCTCTGCCTCCAGCCACTGATCTCCTCATTGTACCAACCCAAGCTAGTCCAGGTGCAGAAAAAGGGGAACTTACTGTATGTCATTAACTTCCTGATTCCTTACGATTCTTTGTCTCTGCTCCTTTGTAGAACTCTGCCACCGTGTGCCGCAAGATCTCCTGCCCCCTGATCCCCTGTGCCAACGCAACCGTGCCTGATGGGGAGTGCTGCCCGCGCTGTGGAACACGTAAGTTCCAACTCTAGAATTAGAATGATTCTATGGTTCTATTTGTGTGGTTCCAACTCTGTACAAGAAGTAACATACCTGCACAAACAAAGGTTCACCTCACATTCAATGAAGTCTATATACAGTATTACAAACCAGAGGTTTGTTCTATTCTAAAGCCATTAATAGCCTGAGTTGTCCTGAGGCTTAATGTCTTTCAGACAAACAGGCCATTTAAACGGCACTCCATTTACTGCCATCTACTTGGATTCTATTTGCCAAATAAAGTATGAAGCCACAACTATTTTCTGGATGTAAAGGTTTCTATTCAAGAAAAACAAATTCATTTTAAGGGTGATTTAAGTCCCCTAGCTTGTTAACGTATGAAAAAGACTGTTATGTGTTGGAACATTGGCGCTTTGTCAACCCAAAACATCTTTAATCTTCAGCTTGTAATGGCTATAATTGAGCCAAATTGGTTAAAGTGGGATGGAAAATTGCTCTGTTTACCAAAGCCATCCTACACACAAGAACAAGTGACATTTTCCACATACCTAAAAGGGCTGGGCCGCAGCAGCCCCTAAAACCTTAAGAAAGGCAGAAAACCACACTCATCAGTACCTTGGCCAAGGTCATGACATGATCAAGTAACAGCAGTCAATGGGGGATCCCTGTGTGTTCAGTAGGCTTCCCTTTGGTCCCTGTGCGTTCAGTAGGCTTCCCTTTGGTCCCTGTGCGTTCAGTAGGCTTCCCTTTGGTCCCTGTGCGTTCAGTAGGCTTCCCTTTGGTCCCTGTGCGTTCAGTAGGCTTCCCTTTGGTCCCTGTGCGTTCAGTAGGCTTCCCTTTGGTCCTGTGCGTTCATAGGCTTCCCTTTGGTCCCTGTGCGTTCAGTAGGCTTCCCTTTGGTCCCTGTGCGTTCAGTAGGCTTCCCTTTGGTCCCTGTGCGTTCAGTAGGCTTCCCTTTGGTCCCTGTGCGTTCAGTAGGCTTCCCTTTGGTCCCTGTGCGTTCAGTAGGCTTCTTAGAAGGACTTTGAGGTCTCTGCAGTCCAATAGCTCTCTCATTGCTTCCCTCAGCTTCCCTCCCCCCCCCCCTCTCGCTCGCCTCTCCTCTCCCTCCCTCCCCCCCTCCCTCCTTTCCCTTTTCTCTAGATCCGCCTCGCCCCTCCCCCCCTCTCTCCCTCTCTCCCCTCTCTCCCCTCACTCCCCTACCCCCACTCTCTCCTCTCCTCTCTCCCTCCCTCCTCCGTCCTCTCTCTCCCCCTCCCTCTCTCCCTTCCCTTCTTCCTCCCTCCCTCCTCTCTCTCCCTCCTTCTCTCTCTCCCTCCATAGCGAGTGACTATGCAGAGGACGGCTGGTCCCTGTGGTCTGAATGGACCCACTGTTCCGTGTCTTGTGGGCGGGGCATCCAGCAGAGAGGCCGCTCCTGCGACCGTATCAACAACAACTGCGAGGGAACCTCCGTCCAGACCAGGGACTGCTACCTTCAGGAGTGTGACAAACGCTGTGAGTTCAGTACACTATACACATTAAAAACTACCAACCAAATCACATTCATCAATCGTCACACAGAAACTTTTATCACAAACCTATATCGATGGTGACAGAAACGATAGACCTAAGTATTCAGCTGCAGATCAGCCAGCTGTGACTCTACAGAGCAACACATTGAACTTCTCTTACCTTGTTTTGACAAAGACCCGTAACCAAGCATTTTCTTTGACCCCTGACCCTTAACCTCTGCTCTATGTCCCTCCAGTCAAGCAGGACGGTGCCTGGAGCCACTGGTCCCCCTGGTCATCCTGCTCGGTCACCTGTGGGGCAGGTGTCATCACCCGTATCCGCCTCTGCAACTCCCCCACACCCCAGCTGGGAGGCAAGGACTGCCAGGGAGAGGGAAGACAGACTGAGAAGTGCACCATGTCACCCTGCCCCAGTAAGTACCATTAGTCAAGGGTTTTTAAGCACAAGACCTGGGTCAAATGCACGTCATTGTTTGCATTTGACATTAGTCAAAGGCCTTTCATGCACCTCACACCCTGAAATATTTGTAGTCATTCATACATCCTCATTTCGTGTGGTACCTTGTCAATTAGCCTCAATTGCAGTCTGTATTTGTTCCTTGTTCAACAACCAGTTGGCTGAAGCAGAAACAAAGACGGCATTGCAAGATGAAGAGCACCACAGTCACACCTGTATTGAAACCTCTGTCTCTCTTCCTCCCGTTCAGTCAATGGTAACTGGGGACCCTGGTCGCTATGGGATACCTGCTCTGCCACCTGTGGGGGAGGAGCTCAGACACGTAAACGTCTCTGCAACGACCCCGCCCCCAACTATGGTGGTAAGGAGTGCCAGGGTAACGCCAAGGCTACTCAGCTGTGCAACAAGAACGCCTGTCCCATCGGTGAGTAGCAGGCACTGGTAGCATCCAAAATGGCACCCTATTCCCTATATAGTGCACTACTTTTGACCAGGGCCCATAGGGATCTAGTCAAAAGAGCCCTATGGGCAGACAATGCCTCTTAAAACGTAAGTACTGTGAATTATTACAAAAATTGTAGGTTTTAGACAGTTTTAAGGTAAAATAACACTTTAAAACTATTACTTTTGATGCTTTTAATGATTTTAAGGCTTATAAAACACTTATAGCTTAATACTAGTACTTAAACACAGTCAGTACACAGTACTTAAAGCCCATGTCTCTCTCCTCAGATGGCTGTCTGTCCAACCCCTGCTTCCCTGGGGCCAAGTGCACCAGCTTCCCTGATGGAACATGGAGGTGTGGAAAATGCCCCACTGCATACTCTGGTAACGGAATCAAGTGCAAGGACATTGACGAGTGTAAAGAGGTTCCTGATGCTTGCTTCGTGTTCAACGGAGTGCACCGCTGTGAGAACACCGACCCTGGCTACAACTGCCTGCCCTGTCCCGCACGCTACTCTGGACCTCAGCCCTTCGGCAGGGGAGTGGAGGAGGCCGCCGCCAAGAAACAGGTTAGTGCTGGTACTGTTGACTAGTGTTGTGATGATTGTCCTCTTAGACTGTAGCTCTGGCCTCGGCTGATTTAGAATTAGACATTTAGAATTAGGAAGTTACAAGATCATAGATCGCTTAAAAAGCTATGCTTTTCTCTGTCCCGATCATACTGCCAACTGTTGCCAGGAAGGCCAGCTGATTGTGACCTCGGTAAACAAAGGCAGGGAGGTTATCCACAATATTTCCTGGCTTGTCTGATCAAGTCTTCATTTCCTCCCACTCCAGGTGTGTACACCACGTAACCCTTGCCTGGATGGGAGCCACGACTGCAACAAGAACGCCCGCTGTAACTACCTGGGACACTTTGCCGACCCCATGTACCGCTGTGAGTGTAAGCCTGGCTATGCTGGGAACGGACACATCTGTGGTGAGGACACAGACCTGGACGGGTGGCCCAACCAAGACCTGGTCTGCGTGGAGAACGCCACCTACCACTGCAAGAAGGTATGTAGGTCCTGACCAGTATAGGTCCTTGAAAAGGTCCAGCTTACTATTTAACTAGTAAAGAACACACATCCCTTTTGAGTGATGTGCCGATGCTGACTACAATTACAAAGAAAAAATAATGTTCTAAAGAAACACACAAGTGATTCATTCAATGTCCTACAGGACTGTTAATCTAGCTAAATATAATGTGCATGCTTGTTGAGTACATCGTGTGCATTGTTCGGCCTTTATGATGTAATATTTCTTTTGTAGGACAACTGCCCCAACCTTCCCAACTCAGGCCAAGAAGACTACGACAAGGACGGTGTTGGTGACGCGTGTGACAACGATGATGACAATGATGGTATTCCTGACGACAGGGTAAGTGAGGAATTACTGATTTACTGATTTATTTATTGAATCATTGAAGATCTGAACCCGTTACAGAGACAAATATAAATCATATTAATTCAGGTTATGCTACCTCTTGGTTAGTCAGTGTGTGTTTGAATGTGTATGTGTTTGTGTGTATTCAGTTTTGGCAGTGAGCCATGGTTTCATCAAAATAACACATAAAACAACTAAGCAGAAAGCGTTTATTTGCCCTCAGAGCCAAACCTCAAATTCCAACACAGAGGTAACACTCTGAATGAGCCGCAGTGTCATCTGCTAGTCCGAACCGTATATTTTGGACGGGCCTAAATATATAACACCCTTTCATCCCCCCTCTCTCTCTGTAGGGTACACAGTCCACGGCAAGTTAAAAGCACAGCATCTGAAATTAATACATCATGTCAGAGATGTTTTCCTGAGCAAGGCAGTGGACACTGGACTGATTCTTCAAGGTTTCAGACTGAGTAACTGAACTGTGCCCCCTCTCTCTCTCTCTCTCTCTCTCTCTCTCTCTCTCTCTCCTCTCTCTCTCTCTCTCTCTCTCCTCGCTCTCTCTCTCTCTTTCTCTCTCTTCTCTCTCCTCTTCCTCTCCGTCTCTCTTCTCTCCTCTCTCTCTCTCTCTCTCCCTACCCCTCTGCCCCCTCTCTCTCTCCCCCTTCTCTCATTCTCTTTCCCCCTCACTCTCTATCCCTCCCCCTCTCCCCTCTTCCCCCTCCCTCTCTCCCCTCTCTACAGGATAACTGTCCGTTCGTGTACAACCCCAGGCAATATGACTATGACAGAGATGATATTGGAGATCGTTGTGATAACTGTCCTTACAACAGCAACCCTGACCAGACCGACACAGACAGCAACGGGGAAGGAGACGCCTGCTCTGTGGACATTGATGGAGATAGTGAGACCCCTATTTAAATCCTGTCCTGTATAATATAGGTGCTATAGATTGGTGTTGAATAAAGGGACCACATGTCCAATGATAATGCTTTGAAACCAAGTGAAAAGCACTACTGTATGTAATTTAACCTTTATTTTTTACCAGGGTCTCTTACTAAACATATAGGCATCAAAACACTATGAAGAGCACAAGAGAGGCACAAAACATGATCATCAAAAACTAACCCATTCTTCAGTAAAAAGATCCTCAATCAGCCGTCTGAATTGTTGCCCCAGAGCAAGGTTCTTCAATTCCGGTGCTGGAGGGCCGAAACACTTCTGTTTTTTATTTCTACCTGGTAGTTAATTGCACTCACCTGGTGTCCCAGGTCTGAATTAGCCCCTGATTAGAAGGAGAGGATGGAAAACAGAGGTGTTTCGGCCCTCCAGGACCGGATTGAAGTACCCGGCCCCTAGAGGCACGAATTCACCCAAATTTAGAGAGTTTTGGAGATCATTCCACAAGTAAGGTGCAGAAAACTAAAAGCAGATTTACCTAATTCAGTGGAGACTGAAGGGATCTCCAGAGTTTGTCATCCCTGAGACCGGGTCTGGTAGCTCGTACGTCTGTAGGTTAAACAAGGTACGGCGGATGTTTGTGAAGAGGGCTTTATGAACAAAAAGAGTGAAATGCATCGATCTACAAGACTTCAAAGAGGGACAGCTTACTTTCTGATACAGAAGAAAGCATTCCATTAAAACAGCAGGTCGTTTTCCTCACCTTCCTCATCATCCCCTGAATAACAACAACTGTGATTGGTCCAACAGGCATTCTGAATGAGAAAGACAACTGCCCATTCGTCTACAACGTGGACCAGAGAGACACTGATCTGGACGGTGTGGGAGATATGTGTGACAACTGCCCTCTGGAACATAACCCTGACCAGGTGTGTGTTCTTACACTTACAACCCATTCTACACACACACACACACACACACACACACACATACACACACACATACACACACACACACATACACACACACATACACACCACACACACATACACACACACGTACACACACAACACACACACACATTCACACACACACACACACACATACACACACACATATACCCACACATACACACACCAACACACAATATACACACACATACACCACACACACATACACACACACGTACACACACACACACACATCACACACACACACACACACCACACACATACACACACACATACACACACACACACATACACAGACACATACACACACACACACACAACAAATATGTGCAGATATAAATGCATGCACGTACGGGTACACATGCATGCCACTGTCACAAACACCCCTAATTTGCATATATCTGTCTGGTGGAGTCTGTCTGTCATTCTAGATGAACTGTCTCTGTTGTGTGAGAACTGTAATGGGCAGCGCTAGCACTAAACTGTATCACTAGACTGTATCACACTAAACTGTATCACAAGACTATATCACTAGACTATATCACTAGACTGTATCTCTAGACTGTATCGCACTAGACTGTATCACTAGACTGTATCACACTAAACTGTATCACTAGACTGTATCACTAGACTGTATCACTAGACTGTTTCACTAGACTGTATCAAACTAGACTGTATCACAATAGACTGTATCACTAGACTGTTTCACTAGACTGTATCACTAGACTGTATCACACTAGACTATATCGCTAGACTGTATCACTAGACTGTATCACTAGACTGTTTCACTAGACTGTATCAAACTAGACTGTATCACAATAGACTGTATCACTAGACTGTATCACTAGACTGTATCACTAGACTGTATCACACTAGACTGTATCACTAGACTGTATCACTAGACTGTATCACTAGACTGTATCACACTAGACTGTATCACTAGGACTGTATCACTAGGACTATATCGCTAGACTGTATCACTAGACTGTATCACTAGACTGTATCACACTAGACTGTATCACTAGACTGTATCACTAGACTGTATCACTAGACTGTTTCACTAGACTGTATCAAACTAGACTGTATCACTAGACTATATGGCTAGACTATATCACTAGACTATATCACTAGACTGTATCACTAGACTGTTTCACTAGACTATATGGCTAGACTATATCACTAGACTGTATCACTAGACTGTATCACTAGACTGTATCACTAGACTATATCACTAGACTGTATCACTAGACTGTATCACTAGACTGTTTCACTAGACTGTATCAAAACTAGACTGTATCACTAGACTGATCACTAGGACATATGGCTATGACTATATCACTAGACTGTATCACTAGATGTTCACTAGACTTATCATAGACTGTATCACTAGACTGTATCACTAGACTGTTTCACTAGACTATATGCTAGACTATATCACTAGAGTATCACTAGACGTGTATCACTAGACTTATCACTAGCCTATATCACTAGACTGTATCACTAGATGTATCACTATCGGACTATATCACTAGACGTATCAAACTAGACTGTACACTAGACTGTATCACTAGACTATATGGACTAGACAATATCACTAGACTGTACACTAGACTTATCACTAGACTGTATCACTAGACTAATCCACTAGACTGTATCACTAGGACATATTACTAGACTTAAATCACTAGACGTATCACTAACTGTTTCACTAACTGTATCACACTAGACTGTATCACTGACTGGTATCACCTAGACTGTATCAACTAGACTGATCACTAGACTGTATCACTAGACTTAGACTAAACCTGTTATCACTAGACTGTATCACTAGACTGTATCACACTAACTGTATCACTAGACTGTATCACAGACTGATACACTAGACTGTATCACTAGACTGTATCCACTAAACTGTATCACTAGACTGTATCACTAGACTGTATCACTAGACTGTATTCACTAGAACTGTATCACACTAGAACTGTATCACTAGACTATATTCACTAGACTGTTCACTAGACCGTGACTAGACTGTTTCACTAGACTGTATCACTAGACTGTTTCATTAGACTGTATCACACTAGACTGTATCACTAGACTATATCACTAGACTGTATCACTAGACTGTATCACTAGACTATATCACTAGACTATATCACTAGACTGTATCACTAGACTATATCACTAGACTGTTTCACTAGACTGTAAGACACTAGACTGTTTCACTAGACTGTATCACTAGACTATATTACTAGACTGTATCACTAGACTGTATCACACTAGACTGTATCACTAGACTGTATCACTAGACTGTATCACACTAGACTGTATCACTAGACTATATCACTAGACTGTATCACTAGACTATATCACTAGACTGTATCACTAGACTGTTTCACTAGACTGTATCACTAGATAGTATCACTAGACTGTATCACTAGACTGTTTCACTAGACTGTATCACTAGACTGTATCACACTAGACTGTATCACACTGGACTGTATCACACTAGACTGTTTCACTAGACTGTTTCACACTAGACTGTATCACTAGACTGTATCACTAGACTGTATCACTAGACTGTATCACTAGACTGTATCTCTAGACTGTATCACACTAGACTGTATCACTAGACTGTATCACTAGACTATATCGCTAGACTATATCACTAGACTGTTTCACTAGACTGTTTCACTAGACTGTTTCACTAGACTGTTTCACACTAGACTATTTCACTAGACTGTATCACTAGACTGTATCACTAGACTGTATCACTAGACTATATCACTAGACTGTATCACTAGACTGTATCACTAGACTGTATCACACTAGACTATATCACTAGACTGTATCACTAGACTGTATCACTAGACTGTATCACTAGACTGTATCACACTAGACTGTTTCACTAGACTGTATCACTAGACTGTATCATACTAGACTATATCACTAGAATGTATCACTAGACTGTATCACTAGACTGTATCACTAGACTGTATCACTAGACTGTATCACACTAGACTGTTTCACTAGACTGTATCACTAGACTGTTTCACTAGACTATATCACTAGACTGTTTCACTAGACTGTATCACTAGACTGTATCACTAGACTGTATCACTAGACTGTTTCACTAGACTGTATCACTAGACTGTATCACTAGACTGTATCACACTAGACTGTATCACTAGACTGTATCACTAGACTGTATCACTAGACTGTATCACACTAGACTGTATCACTAGACTGTTTCACTAGACTGTATCACTAGACTGTATCACTAGACTGTATCACACTAGACTGTATCACTAGACTGTATCACTAGACTGTATCACTAGACTGTATCACACTAGACTGTATCACTAGACTGTTTCACACTAGACTATTTCACTAGACTGTATCACTAGACTGTATCACTAGACTGTATCACTAGACTATATCACTAGACTGTATCACACTAGACTGTATCACTAGACTGTATCACTAGACTATATCACTAGACTGTATCACACTAGACTGTATCACTAGACTGTATCACCAGACTGTTTCACACTAGACTGTATCACTAGACTATATCACTAGACTGTATCACACTAGACTGTATCACTAGACTGTATCACTAGACTGTATCACCAGACTGTATCACACTAGACTGTATCACTAGACTGTTTCACTAGACTGTATCACTAGACTGTATCACTAGACTGTATCACACTAGACTGTATCACTAGACTGTTTCACACTAGACTATTTCACTAGACTGTATCACTAGACTGTATCACACTAGACTGTATCACTAGACTGTATCACACTAGACTGTATCACTAGACTATATCACTAGACTAAATCACTAGACTGTATCACTAGACTGTTTCACTAGACTGTATCACTAGACTGTTTCACTAGACTGTGTCACTAGACTGTTTCACTAGACTGTATCACACTAGACCGTATCACACTAGACTGTATCACTAGACTGTATCACTAGATTGTATCACACTAGACTGTATCACTAGACTGTATCACACTAGACTGTATCACTAGACTGTATCACCAGACTGTTTCACACTAGACTGTATCACTAGACTATATCACTAGACTGTATCACTAGACTGTATCACTAGACTGTATCACTGGACTGTATCACTAGACTGTATCACACTAGACTATATCACTAGACTGTATCACTAGACTGTATCACTAGATTGTATCACTAGACTGTATCACCAGACTGTTTCACACTAGACTGTATCACTAGACTGTATCACTAGACTGTATCACTAGACTGTATCACTAGACTGTATCACTAGACTGTATCACTAGACTATATCACTAGACTGTATCACACTAGACTATATCACTAGACTGTATCACTAGACTGTATCACCAGACTGTTTCACACTAGACTGTTTCACTAGACTGTATCACTAGACTGTATCACTAGACTGTATCACTAGACTGTATCACTAGACTGTATCACTAGACTATATCACTAGACTGTATCACTAGACTGTATCACTAGACTGTATCACACTAGACTGTATCACTAGACTGTATCACTAGACTGTATCACTAGACTGTATCACACTAGACTGTATCACTAGACTGTATCACTAGACTGTATCACTAGACTGTATCACTAGACTGTATCACTAGACTGTATCACTAGACTGTATCACTAGACTGTATCACACTAGACTGTTTCACTAGACTGTATCACTAGACTGTATCACTAGACTATATCACTAGACTATATCACTAGACTGTATCACTAGACTGTATCACTAGACTATATCACTAGACTGTATCACTAGACTGTATCACTAGACGGTATCACTAGACTATATCAGTAGACTGTATCACTAGATTGTATCACTAGACTGTATCACTAGACTGCTTCACTAGACTGTATCACTAGACTGTTTCACTAGACTGTATCACTAGACTGTTTCACTAGACTGTATCACTAGACTATATCACTAGACTGTATCACTAGACTGTTTCACTAGACGGTATCACTAGACTGTATCACTAGACTGTTTCACTAGACTGTATCACACTAGACTGTATCACTAGACTTTTTCACTAGACTTTTTCACTAGACTCATCTAACAATGGGATTCAGCTAGGGGGGAAATAGGAATTTACACAAATCCAATCCCTCCCGCCAGTCCTCCCTCCAGTCCTCCCTCCCCTCCCTAATGCATTTTTTCCTCCCTCCCTCCCTCCCTCCCTCCCTCCCTCCCTCCCTTCTTTCTTTCTTTCTTTCTTTCTTTCTTTCTTTCTTTGTTTCTTTGTTTCTGAGGAGAGGGGGAGGAGGAGGAGGATAGGGGGAGGAGGAGGAGGAGGAGGAGATATTGAAGAGATGATTGGTTGAACGGCTGGTACAGCTGGAAATAAAATGAGCATCTGGGAGCAAGTGTCATCATAATCGCTACTGTTAGTTGCCCGTAGGCACAGATCTAGGATCAACTCACCTTCCCCATTATTTACATTTACATTTTGTATTTTTCCCCCCAATTTCGATCTTGTCTCATCACTGAAACTCCCCAACGTGCTCGGGAGAGGCGAAGGTGGAGTCATGCGTCCTCCGAAACATGATACGCCTAACCGCGCTCCTTAACACCCCTAGCTTAACCCAGAAGCCAGCCCACCAATGTGTCAGAGGAAACACCATTCAACTGGAGACCGGGGTCAGCCTGCAGGCACCTGGCCCACCAAAAGGAGTCCCTAGAGCGCGATGAGCCAAGTAAAGCCTCCCCTAACCCGGATGACACCAGGCCAATTGTGCGCCGGCCTATGGGTTGTGGCACAGCCCGGGAATGAACCCGGGTCTGTAGTAACGCCTTTAACACTGCGATGCAGTGTCTTAGACCGCTGCACCACTCGGGAGGCCACCTTCCCCATTTCTTAAACCTCTACCATTAGTTTAGAAAGCACAAAACTGATCCTAGATCAGTGTCTAATGAGACCTCACCCAACTAGGAGAGGAACACAGCACTTATCCCATATCAGTGTCTAGGGTTAACTCACCAGATTTTAAAGTGATCTCCACCAACAGGTGGATCTAATGTGCTGTAACCGCTAACATTAGCTAGCATGCTAACGTCCATCTCCATTTACCTCTACAGGTTGACTCTGATGACGACCGTGTGGGAGATAAGTGTGACAGCAACCAGGACATCGATGAAGACGGCCACCAGAACAACCTGGACAACTGCCCCTACATCCCCAACGCTAACCAGGCTGACCATGACAAAGACGGAAAGGGAGATGCCTGCGACCACGATGATGATAATGACGGGATCCCAGATGAGAAAGACAACTGCAGACTGGCCTTCAACCCTGACCAGCTCGACTCCGATGGTAAGTGGATCTAGAAGAGATTAAATCTTAAGTGAAATATAGACTGAAATCTTAGGCATAATCTTCAGAGTTTAGCACCCTATTCAACTGATCAGTGGTTTTAACAATTAGGTGGTTACTTGAATCAGTTTGGTTAGTGCTTGCCTATAACAAAAAACTTTGCATCATGTAGCTCTTCAAGACCAGGGTTGATGACCATGGACTTGCATGATATCAGTGTTAATCTTCTTACTGCTAAGACATGTCATTTATCAAGTCTTCTATCTCTTCCAGGTGATGGTCGTGGAGACGCTTGCAAAGACGACTTTGACCAAGACAACGTGCCTGACATCTACGACGTGTGTCCGGAGAACTTTGACATCAGCGAGACGGACTTCAGGAAGTTCCAGATGGTTCCCCTGGACCCCAAGGGAACATCCCAGATCGACCCCAACTGGGTGGTCAGACATCAGGGCAAAGAGCTGGTCCAGACCGTGAACTGTGACCCTGGCATTGCTGTTGGTGAGTGGATTGGTTGGTTGGTTGGTTGGGTGGGTGGGTGAGTGGATTGATTGGTTAGTTGGCTGATTGGTGGGTGGGTGGATGGCTTGATTGATTGAACAATGTTATGCTTTGGGACATCTCAAAATGACCCAACCCTAACTAAAAATACCATCCTCTCACTGACATCTTCTCGTTTCCCATTCCCAGGTTTTGATGAGTTCAACTCTGTGGACTTCAGTGGTACCTTCTTCATCAACACGGAGAGAGACGACGACTACGCCGGCTTTGTGTTCGGCTACCAGTCCAGCTCCAGGTTCTACGTGGTGATGTGGAAGCAGATCACACAGACCTACTGGAACAACAAACCCACCAAGGCTCAGGGATACTCAGGACTGTCCATCAAGGTGGTCAACTCTACTACCGGACCTGGAGAGCACCTCAGGAACGCTCTCTGGCACACGGGCAACACCTCAGGACAGGTAAAGAATGACTCCTATCGTCCTGAACATATATATATATACACACACGTGTGCAAAGACACCCACACACACAGGGAAAACCTTAGGGAGGGCGACTATGCAGTCTAACACTAACCCTATGTGTCTCCTTTCTTCTGTAGGTGAAGACTCTTTGGCATGATCCTAAGAACGTTGGCTGGAAAGACTTCACAGCCTACAGATGGCACCTGATCCACAGACCAAGAACAGGACACATCAGGTAAACACTGAAGCCTTGGCCTGGTGGAGATTTATGAGATTGAGAACGTCTACACAAACCCCATGACTTACTGGACTTAAAACCTTTTACTCCTTGGAGAGCGTTGGTCAAACTTTCATGTAGACTTTCCACAATGGCTGTGTTTGTATCGTAACGTAGATTATCTCACATATCTTACTATTGCATCTTTGTTTCAGAGTGGTCATGTACGAGGGGAAGAAGATCATGGCCGATTCTGGGAGCATATACGACAAGACGTACGCAGGCGGAAGACTAGGTCTCTTCGTCTTCTCGCAAGAGATGGTATACTTCTCAGACCTCAAGTACGAATGCAGAGGTAAGGAACATGGAACGTTCTATGTCTCACTATAACACCAACAACAATTGTTTAGTGACATTTCTTTCACAATAGGCCTATGTGAAGGACCTAACCACAACTTAACGCTTTCTCCTAACTTAATGCTTAACCCTGTGTCCTTTGTGATTTTCTTTCCAGATGTATAATTGCACGGAGCAAGAAGTTCTTGGAACAATGCACCTTTCCGTATAAATATGAACAATATGTATTCAGATGAAAAGTCCAGGGACTGGTTTTTTTCTGCTACTCTTTCTACTGCGGCACGCACACTGGTGGGACCGAGGGGGGGAGGGCCTGGTATGGTCAGCCTCCGGGTAAATTGACACTGGTTTGGACAGAGAACCATCCGGCTGACTGCCAGTCAAGGATCAGAAAGCCCCTCCTACCCACCCAGAGCAGGTAAAGCCGAAAAAAATTGCCCCTTTGCTTTGCCTGAGTGGGACACCCGACCGATGTTACCAACCAACGTTACCAACCGACGACACCGACCGGCCGATCTCTCTGTGATTTTAAAGACCTCATTCAGCTCTGTGCAGGAGAGGCTCCCCATAGACGACTATGCACTTCCAAACCTTTACATCTCTCTCTATCTCTCTTTCTATCCATCTCTCTTTTTCTGGAATGGACGTCCCAAAGAAAGACTATGTAATAGTCTGTTCATAAAAACAGATCTACCCGGATGTAGATTCTGAACGATACGACTCTGAGGAAGTGTTTTTTTGGCTCAGAGGAGGAAGAAAGCAATAAGACTTTTTTCACTTTAAGTTTTGTAAGGAAAGGGCTTTTGGCCATTGAAAATCAGCTTCGTAACAACAAGATATGGAGGGACAATAACTTTGTGTGGATGTATGTACGTATGTTTATGTGTTAAAATAAGAAGAAAGATACTGCTTCCTTTTACCCATCTATATGCAAACCCTTAGAGAAAGGTGTTTCAGAGACTTAAAGAAAACAAACCGAAATTAAAATGTCAAATACAGGATTGCTTGTAGGCTTTTATGGCTGGCATTAGATTGATATCGTTCAGTTGAAATTGAACATAGTATTACTCAGGGTAAGATGGGAGCGACCATCTTGGCATTGCAGAAATGACATGGGAGCGACCATCTTGGCATTGCAGAAATGACATGGGAGCGACCATCTTGGCATTGCAGAAATGACATGGGAGCGACCATCTTGGCATTGCAGAAATGACATGGGAGCGACCATCTTGGCATTGCAGAAATGACATGGGAGCGACCATCTTGGCATTGCAGAAATGACATGGGAGCGACCATCTTGGCATTGCAGAAATGACATAGGAGCGACCATCTTAGCATTGCAGAAATGACATGGGAGCGCCATGTAGAATAAAGGGCATTTCCAGTGCCAGTAAATCCAAGGCAGTCTGTCCATTAAGACACGTGCCATTTTTAACATTAAATGTTACAAATATTCAGTATGTATTTATTTTCCAAATCTAAAAATATACCATTTTGATTAAGATTAGAAACATTGAACAAGGGGGGGATCTCCCTCATCTTTAGAGGCTTCACGTTTGACATTTAATTTATTAACTCTTGCCTACAGTGTAGGTACCAAACAATTAAAATACTTTGAGAAAGTGAGAGATTCCCCCCCCCCAGTGTTCCAGGTGTAAACTGACAATGAGTCAGTCAGACTGGTGTCTTTGGTGTCAGATGTGGGATTCTACTCTCCCCTCTCCCTCCCTGTAAGGAAACCATTATAGGGAATGTAATCCAGCCATGGTTGGAGCTACTACTCCTGAATCAGTATGGTATGTATGTGACCTGTGTGACCTTTTCTTCTGAGAGAGATGAAAAACAAAGGAACCCTTTGATCTACAAATATTACCTCATTGCTGTTGTATAATTAATTTGATCAAACAAAAAAGTACTTTTTTCATTGTATGCTTACAGAATACAAATTGATCAACATTGTATTGCTACTGTAGCACAGGTCTGTAAATAGTATTACTTTTATTTTCAAAACAGAAATCCCCCCCCCCCCCCCCCCCCATCCTACACCCCCCTGCAGTAAAAACAGTAACATTTTAGTTTTTTATATATATATATATATATATATATATATATATATATATATATATATATATATTTGAATTTTTGCTTTCATGTATGTCCTTTGTCCAGTGCTCTTTTTAATGAATAAATTATTATTCTGTTTTGTTTTGTCTGTGCTGTTCTGTGTGTGAGTGGTCGATTTGTGTGTGTAGATAAATGCTATTTAAATAATTTATCAGGATTCGCTGCCTGGTGAAGGGGGCGTATCTGTATGTATAAACGGTTTGCACACTGATGTGAGGATGATCTGTTCTTTATCGTATTTACTTTTAGGTTTTCAGTTTTATCGTTATTTTTACCATTCTTTTTTTGTACAATTTAGTGATGCTTGTTGTCTGTAAACATTTTTACTTAGTTGTACAATAAAATAAAATAAACTGTTATTATCCATAGCAATTATTTTGTTAAATACTTCGGAAACAATAAATAGTTGTTCAAATCCACTCTCAGTCTGTATGTGTTCACTACCAAGTCTTTGACCGAGTCGATGAACCACAATGCACCCATTACATTGTCCTCAAACAATGTCTATTCTTGACTGCACACTACTTATCTCATATTCTATAATATATAATGGGTGGTTCGAGCCCTGAATGCTGATTGGCTGACAGCCGTGTTATATCAGAACGTATACCACGGGTATGACAAAACATTTATTTTTACTGCTCTAATTACGTTGGTAACCAGTTTATAATAGCAGTAAGGCACCTCGGGGGTTTGTGGTATATGGCCAATATACCACCGGCTAAGGGCCGTATCCAGGCATTCCGCATTGCGTCGTGCATAAGAACAGCCCATAGCCGTGGTATATTGGCCATATACCACACCCCCCTCTGGCCTTATTGCTTAAATATATACTGCATAAAACACTTTTTTATAAACTCTAAATATTGTGTATGGACATTGGCTGTGCAGCAAAGTCAGCTAAAAGTGCACATGCAGAACACATCCAGGCACCACCATGAACATCAACAGAAGCCCAGATATCTGCCTCAAAGTAAATGTTAGGCCCCTGTTTAAACAGGGCTGTGTATATATACTGTCTTCTCTGTCCCTGTTAAAGACACACATGCCATCCTTCGGGGGCGCATGAGGAATGTATCACGGTACTCTGTTCCTAGCCTTGATCTGTTTAAAGAACATTGAAAGTCACTGTTAGCATGGACAGATTGGAAACCTCCCAAGTTGTCTCTCTTTGTGGTGCTGAGTGATTGATTAATCTCCTGTACAGACATGAATGTAACTTCTGCATGTGTATGTCAATGTTTTGTTGGAGACTAGTTTTCTCAAGAGGAATAGGTTGAAAAAACTGCCTCTCAACCCCCTCAGCACGGTATTCTCCCAGAGCCACGGTGTGCATCCCAAATGGCACCCTATTCAGTGCACTACTTTTGACCAGAGCCCTATTCCCTATACAGTGCACTACTTTTGACCAGAACTATTTGCTCTATTTAGGGAATAGGGTACCGTTTGGGACAGAGGCATGGTCCATATTTCAGACCACCGGTCTACTGGTCCTGCGATAGAAGCACTGCCACATAGCCCAAACTGAGTAAACAGATGGTATATCAACTTGTCCAGCAGTAAAAAAATAAATGCACAGGCAGTGTGGAGTGAATCCTGGCTTCCAGTTTTGCAGAATTTCCAATTGACATCAATATAGCAACTTAAGAGAAATAGGAGAAATAGCCTATATACTGTGTGAAATACAGAGGCGGTATAGATTGAATCCAGGCTTAAAATACAATATGGACCCATGAAAATGTTCCTCCAAAGTATTTGCTACATTTCCCTTTGATATCCACGCATGACACACAAAGGTTAGGAGGCAGGATTTGACACCTCTGTGAGGAGAGATCTGTTCAGAAAAACATCCACCATAACGTGTGGTCATCAGGTGTATAGTGTGGTGTGGCAATAGCCTACAGCTTACAAACTGTCTTGGCTAGGCCAACTGCACTGCAAACACCAACCATTTTGGACAGAGGAACTCCCCCCATTATCACATCATCTGTAAATTAGGAATAATCTCAAGTCTCAAACTGTAAGTATGAGTACAAGGAATCAACAATGGGCCTTAACTGGGGGGGTCTACATTTGGCTACTGGATCAAAGGTCACCATCCTAAGATTAGTGGACCTTCTATAGCTCTCTGGTTGGTTTACCCTGTTGTGGGGGTAAGGGTGAAGAAGTGCACTCCCTGGTCAATAAAAGTATTACATGCCAAGCCCTCAGTTCATACCTCTCCACATTTTGTTGTGTTACAGCCTGAATTCAAAATGGATAACATATTGGTTTTTACCCATCTACACACAATACCCCATAATGACAAAGTAAAAACATGTTTTTTAGAAATGTTAGCGAATTTATTTTGAAATGAAATACAGAAATATCTCATTTACATAAGTATTCACACCACTCAGTCAATTCATGTTAGACTCACCTTTAGCAGCGATTACAACTGGGTATTTCTTTGGACACCTGGATTGTACAATATTTGTGCATTGTTCTACTCAAAATTCTTAAAACTATGTCAAATTGGTTGTTGATCATTGCTAGACAACCATTTTCAGGTCTTGCCATAGATTTTCAAGCAGATTTAAGTCAAAACTGTAACTCGGCCAATCAGGAACATTCACTGTCGTCTTGGTAAGCAACTCCAGTGTAGATTTGGCCTTGTGTTTTAGGTTATTGTTCTGCTGAAAGGTGAATTCACCTCCCAGTGTCTGTGGAAAGCAGACTGAACCAGGTTTTCCTCTAGGATCTTGCCTGTGCTTAGCTCCATTCCATTTCTTTTTTATCCTGAAAAACTCCCTAGTCCTTAATGATAACAAGCATACCCATAACATGATCTAGCCACCACCATGCTTGAAAATATGGAGTGTGTATTGTATTTACACCAAACATAAGACTGTATTCAGGACAAAAAGTGA